CACATAGCAAAAGCCTAACTTTTGTGCAAAACTGGGAGAAGGACCTAAAACTCACCTATCCAGACACAGAATGGGAAAAACTATTTACCACTCAAAAAAATACACGTTATTCTCTTCACACATAGAACTGACCAAAAAGATTTTGTACAGATGGTACTTAGTCCCAACAAAATTATATAAAATGTTCCCCGCAGTATCAGATCGCTGCTGGAGATGTCTGGAAGTTAAAGGCGACATGCTCCACATTTGGTGGACCTGCCCACGATTATCCACCTATTGGAAAGAAGTAGCTAAGCTAGTATCAACAGTAATGGATATGAAACTCCCCAAAGCCCCAGAAATATACCTCCTTTATAAATACCCCCCCCCACAACTAAACCAGCCACGGCATATCTCACCTACCAGATCACTATAGCAGCACTAACGCTAATCAGTAGGGCATGGAGATCCACAACGGCCCCAACAATTCAAGAATGCACTCGACAAATAGAACAAAATAAGACATACGAATGCGCAGCCAGAAAGGCGACCAACCAAAGAAACAAGATATGGAAAATTGCCTGGGAAAACTGGAACACAGCCATAGAAACCCTAAGAATTAACACACAAAATTTCTAAACTGTCGAAGACTCGACAGCCATGCTCATACCATGAACCAAATAAATAGAATTGTGAGGAAACAAAAACCAAAACAACAATGTACAACGCACAATGTATCAAGTATATCGCACAAAAGTATAGAAAAGCAGGGGAAAGCGTCCAACAAAGGGGAAAGCGCCCAACAAAGAAGAAATAATAGACCCCCCCCATGGCATGGCTCACTTTCCCACCTGTCCCGTCCCCCCCATCCCTATTGTTGAGTTTGTTAGTTGTTGTTTTGAGAAAACTTCACAGCGTGTGAGAACTATAACAGAAGGCCATGAGTGCCTTATATACATATGGTAGGGTAGACACAATGTGACAAACAATGATTAAATGCTGTAATGTTGTAACCACCAATGCATGGAATGTTCCTAACTGTACCAATGACATCCTACCATAGGAATATTCAAACTCTACAATGTATTTTTCCACATGTATGTGAATAAAAATTACTTTAATAAAAAAAAAAATAATATATATATATATATATATATATATATACATAAAAATACAATAAATGAACTCACCCAGGTGTGTTAACCAACCCTTACTGGCGTCCATGAAAACTGCGTCTGCATGTGCAGCCTCAATCCAACCCATTGCGGATGTACAGGACGTTCGGGTTGCCATGATAACCGCTAATGCCTGCATTTGATTGGTTGGAAACAAGACTTCCTCTTTTTAGTTACAACATGGTTCCTGTTGTGTTGGACTAAGTATTATGTTAGTCCAATAAAAAAAGGTATCATTGCATATTGCAATACTCTGGTATTTTGGCATTTTATATAAAGATATAAAATGCAAAACTGCATCTGCATTTCTGCATTACTTTCTTTTTCAGGATGGTCCAAAGATTGTCTCCAAGAATGGGGATCTTTTATGCGTCTGGCAATTTCTAGCATGCTTATGCTGTGTATAGAATTGTGGAGCTTTGAAATCGGAGGATTCCTTGCAGGTTAGTTGGTAGTGTTTTGGGCTTTTTTTTTTTTTTTGCTGCAACATAACAATGCATTGTTGGTAAATATGTGTGCTTTTGTAATTTAGGCTTTCATCACAATCCCGCTCTTATTTTTTTGTTTTATAACAATTTCTGAACCTCTTCCATTCAACATAATCACATTTAGAAATGTCTGTTTTTTGCCATAAACACTCAACAAGTTGGAGATTACAATTAACTGCCAGGCTTAACTTTTGACATTGTCAATATTCATGGTTCCTATAACAACCAGATGGTACTCCAACTGTGCATTCACACATTCACACAATAGTCACTCCAGAACCCTAAAGCACTTCAGCTTGATAATGTGTATTATGTATGAAGAATGTGTCCTCTTTTTTATTTGCAAAAAGTGCAGATTTTTATAGATTGGCACTTTTATAAATTAACCTTGTTGCACTCCCTCACTGCAAGTCCTGTTATTTCCTGGTAGCAAAAAAATTAAAATATTAGATGTTATATATTATCCTGGTGCTTTAAGCAGAGGAGGCAGAATTTAAATAAAACACTTGAGTAGTTAATATTTTTCAATTTTGAGAAATAAAGTAATAAAAAAGGGACAAGTCTGTGAAAATCCCACAGCAGTACTATATGTTGCTCTGTCCACAGGGCCTGAAGAGAAGTGTTCAAACCATATTCACAAATATTGTAGACATTACATATCTCAGCTAGGATCTTAGTCTGCTCCAGTGATGTGCTAATGCATTGAATGAGTTGATTTGAAACTGGACAATTAAACTTGTAGTTGCAAAGGAATGGGCACTGATGGATTGCACCACTTGAAAAAGGCTATAAAATGACATAGATTGTGCTCCTTTTGGAGGGGTGTAGTGTAGCCATTAAGTATCTGAGATAGTGTAGGAGTTCCTCTGTGGGATATTTTCAGGTAATCGCATTATTCTTGCATGCCTTGACAGTGAGCTAAGGTATTTTCTGAAATATAAAGCCTTTACAATGATAAGTTTTTAGTGAATTTTATATAAGGAAACAAGAATTGAGTGCCCTAATTACGATAAAACTTAACTTTTATTGTTATAAATGCAAATAAATAAAAATAAAAAGAAAGGTATTTAATATATAATAGTGCATAAGTGCTCAAAGTGAAGATAAGTAACCAAGTCTAAATACAATAAGTTAAGTTGTCCTGCCCAGTGTCTAAGTTTCACTGGCAGATCAATTTTATAACAACGTATCAATATACCCTTGTTTGTGTTCATTGTTTGATAATACATTTATATCTGTGCTCATTTAGTAATGTCTGCTGACAGTTTTTCTTTTATGTTTTTGCAAATGTCAGATAAAGTAAATTTTACCCATTAGAGACCTATATTGTGAATAAATGTGAGTTTTTAGTGAATAGCTAATGTTCTTTAATGGCCTTTTTTGTTCCTATCCTAGAACTGTCCAAAAACTTTAGCTGTTCTTGGACACAAACTTCTATATCATTATAGATCTGGTGATTCACATTCATAGCTGAAGATGTATAGTGTAGTGCTGGTATGACACCCAGAGTGTCCATGGTATACATAATAATAAGACATTTAGTTAAATAAACATTCTATATACATATGTGTGTGTACATGTATTTATATTTATTTTTAGGTCTTATCAACATGGTGGAACTCGGAGCACAGGCTATAATGTTACAAATGGCAAGCGCTGGTTTTACGGTGAGAGAATTTACTGAAACTATAATATGCTTTACAGTTTTTGTGGTCTGGGGGAGGAGGCAGAGTAGGATTGTATTTCCTAATCACATTTCTCAAACTAGACCCCAATGACAGCAAATGTTCCATGACTTAGGTAGTAGGAAAAGGATACCCATAAAGTTCTAGACTTTTATCACTACCCAAAAATATTAAAATTAATAATAATAAAAAGTGTGTGTATTATAGTGGCACTTCATCAAGCTTTATGGAAATTAAGGCATTAATTATGTCAAATCATTAGGTCATTTGGTTTTAATTATAAATAAAACATTAAAGTGATTCTGTGTAGATAAAATTGGACTTTGTACAAAAGTGCTAAATTCAATTCAATTATTTAAGTAACTTATTATAGTTGCAACAGCATACAAGCTTCAGCTTCTGCCCTATTTCCCCAGGAACATATCTTCTTTCAAACATATGATGTTCCCTTGAGGGAATTTTGCTTTGAGACTTACACTTTAAAGAAACTGTATCAGTAAAAAAAAAAAGCATATCATTTTACGCCTGGCGCCATTAGTAAACATACTGTTACTAAATGCTTTATTCCCAAAATAGTATAAACATTAGCTTTATAAGAACCTTTTTTAATCTTTACTTTTTATCATATTTCCTGCTGCTCCTCTGATTGCATATATTTTTCCCCATTGCTTTCTTTCTGCTTCCTGTATTTCAGCTGGACTGTCTGCCAATGGCCATGCTCCAGTGATTCTCTATGAGAATCCGTAATGACACACCTATTGCATCTTTCAACACATGCCCACAATGTCTGCCCAAGTGTATATATATAAATTATTGTATGTATAGTTGTGTGTGTGTGTGTGTGTATATATATATATATATATGTATATATATATATATATATACACATATATATATATACATACCTTGCATTACAGGGAGGGAGCGAAGCACATATAGGAGGAGAATGTGTTGAGCACAAGGGACAACTTGGAGTACAGGGAGGAAGGGAGTGGAGAGCATCTCGGGGTACAATATAATACTTTATTTACAGGGCAGGCGTGAGGGAGGAAGAGTATGGGGGATGGGTGTTGTGTCAGAAAGCATTCCCTTCTGACTTCCGCTGCACCTGCTTCACTTCAGGAAATGTGGCACCAGCTGGGTATTGTAGTAGGGCATGCCAGCCCCTGTTAATCAACCTCCCTATCCACTGTTAACCCCCTTCCCTGCCAGTCCCTGTTATCCCTGTAAAATATTATATAACAGTGGGTAGAAAAGTTGGCTGACAGGGGCTTAAGGGAAAGTAGTTAACAGTGGTTAGTGAGGTTGGCTGATAGTGGTTGGAGGGTAATAGGTTAACAGTGGGTAGTGAGGTTGGCTGACGGGATGGAGAAAGATTAACAGTGATAGTGAGGTTGGCTGACATGAGCTGAAGTAGAATTTATTGCTTGCATTACAGGGAGGGAGGGAACAAAGCACATATGGGGTGGCTGGGAACAGGGGGAGAAATGTCTAAGAAAAGAGGAAGGAAAGAAGAGAATAAGGCTACATCAAAGTTATGAAATAAAAAGAAAGGAAAGAAAACAGAAGTGAATGCAAAAGAGTAACCAATATTACACATGCTGTGCTTTGCTCCTGATTCCCAGTCTCTGAAAGAAACTTACCTTTTTCAGCCAATAAAAATATAGACATGTCTTTTGTAGTGTATGAAATGCTCACAGCACAGATTGCACCAAAGAGGCAGCATCTGTGATGCGGGCTGTGTTGTGAGCATTCCTTACACTACAAAAGACATGTCTATATTTTTATTGGCTGAAAAAGGTACGTTTCCTTCAGAGACTGGGAATCAGGAGGGGGAAGGCTTAGGAGGCTCGGTTACACTGCTGAAATCATCAAAACATTTTACAGCACTGCAGGAAAATGTCACAGAATTGAAGGAAAGTTATGTGTGCTTTAACACATGAATAGTTTAATACATGCAGTACAGCTGCAAATACAACTAAACTAAAATACTGATTTCAGTATCTTAGTAGTACATTTTACTGGAGTGCCCATTAAAGTGGATTAATTCTTCTTGGTAAGGAGAATATGTATTTTTTTTTAATGAAATTGGATGGAATTGAACTATTGCATGTATTTGTCTGGTATTTCATTTTAAAAGATTGCCTAATAAATGATTGCTGGTATTTGAAATTTCTAACTTAATGGGTTTAAAATAAACCCCTACAGATTACTGTTGGATTGTCATCATCTGCCAGTGTCAAAGTTGGAAATGCGTTAGGAGCTGGAGATGTTGAGCAAGCCAAGTTCTCTACTAATGTTTCTCTAATATGCACAGGTAAGAAACTACATGAAAGTATGTAGATATCAATATGTATATAATACTTAATAGAGACATGAAGAATATTTTTCATGGCCTCCCATCATGAGTACAACTTAATAAATATACATAATTACTCATGATGGATAGTGATGTCGCTAACCGAAGCTGCCTTCAACATGGATGCTGTCCAGGAGGTGGGAGGGTCTGGGAGGGAGGGTCTGCTGGAGATTGGCTGGGATGTGTCAGCTGACCGGAGCTCGCCACGAACGGTTAGTGGCGAACCGCGGGGAGCCGTTCGCGGGAAGTTCGCGAACGGTTCGCAACATCACTAATGATGGATGGCCACTGATAGGAACAGTGCTCTGTAGAGAATGCTGAATTCTCTTGCAGAAGACCATCTGAAGGAGATGCAGTACCCAGGTTTTGTCAAACCATACTAAAACAGTTTTGCAATTTTCTGTGATATAGCACTAGGACAATCTACGAATCAGAAACACAAAGAAATTCACCACAAACTCATCCACGAATAGATAGCGTCACCAGTCAGTCATCATATCAACCGAAATATCCTGGACTTGTACCATTGAAATTTTACCAAAAGAAAATTAGATGGCACCAAAAGTGACAAAGTAAAACACTTAGGCACAAACAAAAAACAGCTGGATATATACTAGGTATATATCCAGGGCATAACTCTATTCATCAAAATTAGAAAAATAGGAAAAGGAGGAAAATCCCTAGGGAATTTATTCTCCTATAAATATTGAAAAGGACTATTTGAAGTGCAGTGTGCAGAAATCAATGAGAGGTAGCTAAGTAATACCTTTTACTAATCAAGTTAAACAAAATACCCCCGTTACCCTCTATGAAATAGGTGTAACCTGCAGAATTCTAGTCTAGTCTGACTGCATTCCCACTACAACATTACTATAGCTTGCCTCCAGATGTGTGAACCATCACAACCTGACAAAAGGTCAGAAAATAGCCTATCTTTTGGCAGCTCTGTTGTTGGATTTGTTAAGGATGGTGCTAAGCACTGAGTAAAATCATTATCTGTAACTACAGTGACAAACTAACTTTTAAAAAGAGGCATTGTGTCCTATACCACTCTAAAGACATTGTGAAAAAAGTTATAATTGCAACAAGCAAGTAAAAGTTAAAGGAGCACGATAGTGCCAGGAAAACAAACTCGTTTTCCTGGCACTGTAGGGTTATTAGGTCCTCCCTCCCGCAGGGCCCCCCCTCCCACTGGGCTGAAGGGGTTAGAACCACTTCAGCCACTTACCTTAATCCACTTACCTGCGTTGGTGACCTCTCCTCCCCCTACCGACGCCAGCTACGAATGCGCATGCGTGGCCAGAGTCGCGCGCGCATTAAAACCGCCTATAGAAAAGCATTTCTTAATGCTTTCCTATGGAAGTCAGCATGTCCTCAATGCAATTTTCACATTGAGGATTGCGGAAGCGGCCAATAGAGGCTGGATTAACCCTTAATGTAAACATAGCAGTTTCTCTGAAACTGCTTTATTTACAGCTGCAGGGTTAAAACTATGGGGATCTGGCACCCAGACCACTTCATTGAGCTGAAGTTGTCTGGGTGCCTATAGTGGTCCTTTAAGAAAATGCCCATTGTTCGTTTCGTTGATTACATTGCACCTTCATCACACCTTGAACCTTAACCACTACAGCAGAGGTAGGCAACCTTCAGCACTCCAAATGTTGTGGACTACGTCTCCCATAATGCTCTTACAACAGTAGCGCTGTAAAAGCACAAGGGGTAATGTAGTCCACAACACCTGGAGTGCCAAAGGTTGTCGGCCCCTTCTGTAGTGCTTATGGTACTTGGAGTGTTCTTTTAAAAACTAATAAGTGTTACTTGCCAGTTTTTCAAATAAAACACTCACTTCAAGGAAAGGTCATAAAAACTGGAGCTACTAGATTCCACATATTTTAATAAAAGTGTGCGATATACATCTGTTTTCTTTTTCACATGCTAATGTAGCTGATTCATTCATTCTGTCTTCTAATCACTCAGCAATTTTTGCTGTCCTGGTTGGTGTTTTTATTGCTGCGTTGAAAGGTGAAATTGCATACATTTTCACATCAGACAGGTAAGTAAATGTCTGTTTAAAGGCTAAATGACTTTGTAAAATTTCAAGACCTTTATTTCCAGTATATAAAATAACAAACTGCTAGCACACATACAGATTTTATTCTGATTAAATATAGACATGTAATTATAATAATTATAAAAATGTGTTGTCAGATAAATAATAATAATATTAATAATAATAATAATATAATTAAGGTGTCCTATGCTTTAGTAGTAGTTCTATTAAAAACAAAAGGGAAATAGTATGCAGTCACTTTCACAGTCCAAACTGCAATTCATTCTACTACTGTAACCTTTTATTTATTTATGTATTTATTCAATCATTTATACATTCATTTTATTTTGCAACTAAAAGTGAAAATAACAGGAGGTAACCATTGAATAGAACAAAGTAAGATGCACTGCAGTAAGGTACGAATATATGCTAAACTGAAATTACACCATCAGATTTTGTAAACAGGGTGTTTCAGGTAACACTCATTGAAACAGTTATTGATTCAGTACAAAATAAATCATTGACAAGTTTTTAAATAGTGAATAACAATATGTTATATAATAATATTAAGGAAAGATTTAGTTGCAAAATGGTGGTAACAACTGTAGTCTAACCAGTAATGTTTACAATATGAATCACGCATGTGTAATTAATATGGAAATTGCTCTGAAGCATACATGGACAGTGAGGGACAGTGCAACATTATCCTGTCACATCTCTGGAAAGGATCAGACCAGCTTCTCCATAGGTGAATAACCCTTTGAAGAAGATATAAGAACTTTAAATTGAGCGGCTCACACATTTAAGAGACACTATAGGCATCAAAACAACTTTAGCTTAATGAAGCAGTTATGCTGTATAGAACATGCCTCTGCAGTCTCACTGCTAAATTTTCTTCCATTTTGGAGTTACACACTTTGTTTATATAGTCCTAGTCAGACCTCCCGGCATGTGACGTGCACAGCCTTCCTAAATACTAAATGCTTCTCTAACATCCTTTATTGCACAGTCTGTTTAATTTAGAATTTCATATCTTCTGCTCTGTTAATAGCCTTATAGAGTTAATAGCTGGTTCCAGGTGCCTCGTGTGTTTGATTAAAGTTCAAATTACAGAGCTGCAGATAGAATCTTCTAAAGCAAGTTAACATTGATTGAAATCATTTTTTCATGCAGACTGTGTCAGTCACAGCCAGGGGAGGTGTGACTAGGGCTGCTTAACCACAAAAGTTGTTTAACTCCTAAATGGCAGAACATTAAGCAGTGAGATTGCAGGTACATGATTATGGGCCTTAAAGAACCACTAGAGGCACCCAGACCACTTCAGCTTAATGAAGTGGTCTGGGTGCCTGGTCCAGCTAGGTTTATCCCCTTTTTCTATAAACATAGCAGTTTTAGAGAAACTGCTATGTTTAGATTAGGGTTAATCCAGCATCTAGTTGCTGTCTCATTGACAGCCACTAAAGGCGCTTCCGCACTTCTCACTGTGAAAATCACAGTGAGAAGACGCCAGCGTCCATAGGAAAGCATTGTGAATGCTTTCCTATGAGATTGGATAAATGCGCGCGCGGCTCTTTCCGCGCATGCGCATTCAGCCGAGGAGGCGGAGAGGAGGAGGAGAGTCCCCCACCCGGCGCTGGAGAAAGAGGTAAGTTTAACCCCTTCTACCCCCTAGATCCCGGCGGGAGGGGGACCCTGAGGGTGGGGGCACCATCAGGGCACTATAGTGCCTGGAAAACGAGTATGTTTTCCTGGCACTATAGTGGTCCTTTAACGCCATCATTAAGCTAAATCTGTTTTGATAACTATTGTGTACCATTAAGATAGGTATGATAGTCACAGCCATAAGATTAATAAATGTGATTCCTCCATAGTTCTAATACTCCCCATTCTCTAAATCCAAATCCTAGTGAAAGGCATTGTATTACTTACCTTTATAAATGAGAAAAGTGTTGTACTTAAAGGGGTGATATAAGCACTGTAGTCATCAATGTGAGCTGTAATGGTTATGATGCCATAGTAAGTAGACAAACACATTTACCTGTAGTCACCCCTACGTTTCAGACATAGTGGAGGTTACAATTTTTGCATGAGATATATCAGTCTAAATATTGAACAGGATACTATAGTGTTACAAATATGTGTTTTTATTCCTGAAATTATAGTGTTCCTTTATCTTATTCTGATAATTATGTTTCCAGTTTGGTTATTTTCACTTTAAATTTGAAATGTACTTTGAATTCACCCTGAATTCTCACTTTCATGAATGTTGGCTGTTTTAATCCAAATTTTGCAATCTGGTTGTTAATTCACTGATGTTTTCTGTGTATTATATAAACCCCAATGTTCTCTCCAGGCATCATT